GAAGGATGAGGAGGAAGAGAAAAAACCGGAGCGATGCCCTATTGTTAAAGCATTTATTCTGCACTTACTCTCCAGGCGATTCAAAACTGATACCATCGCCTGGCTGACTGACACATTTACCATCTTATCTGTTATCGTAATTAGAGCAGTGACTATCCTATAATTAGCCCATTTAACATCCTGTCCATCTCTATAATTAGCCCACTGTGCCTCTGCCTGTACCTGTCATGGTGCTTTCACATCTAATCTATTACTACGGTTAACATGTATAAATTAATTCCAAAGAGAATAAAACTCACCTTCTATATAGGGGAAGAGGAGGTTCGTTATCTGGCGCAGTATTTCAGGTTTGGGAATCACTGCACTAAATTACTTTGGGTCATCGGTGACCTGTGTCAAAAAAACTCTATGGATGCTGCACTCCGGATTTCAAACAGCCTATTGTTCTTTTTGTCTGATGCAGGTTTTAGTAATGGCATAGCTTAAATCTCCAGCGTAATGATATTAAATAATGCTATTGGCCATGGCCATGCGTCCAACTACACGATAGCTTGTCCAAACCTGTAAAGTAAAGCCAGGAGATTGGTAAATAAGGGACCAAACGAAACAAAAATAAACCTACGCAAATTGAACTGGTAGGAATACTCATGGCCATCGCTACCATTGAATCAATGGTCAGGATTTCATTTTTTTTGCATCACACAGGGTTATTCATCAGGCTCTTGAACACTACAGACAAAGGTGCAGGAAATGATGCAAAAGGACATCGAAATAAATGTATATCGTGCAGAGGAACGAAGCTATGATATAAATTTTGTGTGGATACTATCGCACGCTGATGGCCTAGCAAGATCTGCATATGATAAGCAAAGGGAGGATGTTGCAGTACCTCTCGCTGCGATTTCACACATCATCAGAACCTCCTTCAAAGAGGACCTGAGTTGATAAATTCCCTTAAATCTGTAACATAAAATGGCCGGTTTACGTAAGATAAATTCATTTGTGGTATATATAAAACAAGAGCAGGGCAGCGTGATGTTGTGGTCGCAAGAATCAGCCTCCGATAAAGAACGTATTTGCAGGTCGGCGCAGTCTGTAATGTCGAAGAAACTATAGTGCAAACAATGAAGAATATAAGCTGTCCCTTGTACATTATATCACGGACCACCTAGCACGAGGTACGTACACCTATGTTACTATTTCATATCATTTGATGTCTTGGAAGATATGTCGCATCCTAAATTTGGAATGTGATATCCCAATGTGATCATATATCAAATGCAACATTGCCTTTCCACGCCCAAGCAGCGTGCCGGAGCGATAAATAAATAGATGAAAGATTATGCAATCATTTGTTTTCCATCTTAACTTATATAATATAGATCATAATAATGCTATTGTTTAAATTTTCATTTTAATACTACACTACATTGCTGTGACCATGGATCAAACGTCAACCAAAGCTTGCAAAGCCTCAATGCAGTCTGGCTTGGTCAGCAATAACTAACGGAACTGAACTAAAACCCTCTAATCAAAACCTAAAATTATGAGATTGCGTCGATATGGCTGTGCGCCGCTGAAGCCAAACATTACGCTGTTTTTCAAGCGTCTCACAGGCCGATCTCCTCCAAATCTATCGCACCAAAGGTTTTTAAGCAAGAAAAGAAAACAAGAACCAAACACAAATCCGTTCTTCCACGCACTGAGAACATTAACATAACACAGCGATAGCATAATGAGTAAATGAATTCACCCCAAATTTTCCCAACCGGCATAACAAACAAATGACGTCACGCCAATCATTTCTGTCCCGGATGTCAAGTGCACAAAAGCCTAATGACGGTTTTGCGTCACTTGTCATACCGGCGGTCTAGTATTGACACCACAAATATGTACCTGATAATACATTCCTTTCGATAAAGTACGAAAACTGACGTCATATCTATTTCATTCAGGTGTTTAGTGATTAACCATATGTTCGCGGTGATATGATAATGGATTAATGTAACTGCGGTTTACCCATTGTAAAAGCCAGGTGATTAAACGTACTGATAAAAAAGAAGAGAAACATAATTATATAGCCTAATTTAGGTTTCAAATGCGTGTCGGATTTGCATAAATCACGCCATACTCAAATTACGTGGAAATGTAAACAAACCTATATATTTTCCGACCAATCCGAAAGAATGAGGAGCGCCCAGTGCCATACGCGTGGATACAACAGACAGAAATGCCCACAAAATAACAGATGACTGACGACCTCTGAACTCTGTGGAATGTGACCCTCTCGCTCGCCATCGCTTGACCTCTTGACCTCTTCTGGTGAACGACGTCAGGTGTTGACCTTTCGTGCGTTAACGGTAGTGCATGTTGATGATCTCTTGGCCACACCTTTCTGCATGACAAGACACATGCTAACACCCCCTGTCATGAGACGTAGGCCATGACAAACCATATACCGACAGCTCCCACTGCCAATGAACGCTGCATGACACGGGAAAAAATATGCCTACTGTAACGAACGGATCTTGCATGACACAGCATCCGAACGCCCATATCCTAGACCCCATTTTGCATGACACACTCCTCTACCGGCCAGAAGTTCACCACCGCATGACAGGGCAGGTTTTTGGCCCGAGTATAGTTCTCCTGTCAGTCACGGCCGACGGCGAGGCATCGATCAACTCATTTTGACTCTTCTTTCTCAACCTGGACGCACGATTCAACTGCACTTGACTGACAGTGACAAGCATCCCTCCCCCTGTGTTTCCCCCCTCCCCTTCTCCTCATCCTTCCCGTGTACTCCATGGTTCCAATTCGTCCCCTCCTCCCACCGCCCCTACCTTATTTCGATGCCCCCTCCATTTTCAATCTCCCACTGATTTTCATATCACATTCCCATCTCGCATCCAATTTCATCCATTCGCTCCCGGTCGATGCCATTCCTTCCTTCACTTTCTTGTGTGCGTCCACCATTCTCCTCCCCACCTCCCCTTCCTTTCAACTCCTCTTCATCCCCTCCCTGCGAGCTCTTTCACACCCCCCCCTACTACATCTCCTACACTTTTCTCTGCGCTCCTACCTCTCCTACTTGAAGTTCTCTACTCTCTCCATTCACCGCATCAAATCATCTAAAGGTCCCCCCTGCCGCCTCCACCGTGCCATTAACATAGCTCAAGAATAGCAGCCTGCCTCCTTCCCACGACACTCTCTGCTAACCACTCCCTTTGCCCCCTCGTCTCCCCCGGGCGGTAATCAGCTGATAGCCTCTTCCTCCCGCCATTCTGGACGAGCTTCTTAGAACGCCGCGGAATTCTGGTCACAGTGTCAGAATGGAGAGTGAGTGCCTGGTCAACGGACGGTCGAAATGCTGATCCTTTGTGACTTACAAAGATTGCTGGCCGATGGACCTTTCCTTGAACCAGTGTATTTTGGAACTTGTTTGTTAGTGATCCTTGGAAATAACCTTTGGATGAAGCTTCTACTATCATTCTCCCGCCAAAACTTAACATTTTTATTCCCTTGTGAGGTAAGAGTTTTGATATCTCGTTGAATTTATTTTCTCGTTTTTCACTTTATCCCTCTGTCTTTTTAATTTATCTACTAGTGAGTGATTTTTTTTTAATTTTGTTCGGCCTGTTTCTTACCTCATTTTTCATTATGTGTTAGTTTTGTGTACCGACCGAACTGTCCACTTTTTATTTACTTTCTTCCTGACCTGCTACCTACTGCTTTCCTTACAACTCTAATCATGGATCAGCATTCTCCATTTCCGATCACAATCATCATATCGATATCTAAACTTTTATCATTCCATAATCATACTAATTGCATCGAGCCTTCTGTTCATCTATCTCATCTATTCATCGCTCTAAACCCGGTGTCATTTCCTTCTCTGCCAATAACGCTTACATTTTGTCTCTCTCGCAGTATCACACGACCTAGCGAACTAACGTGCACCATCTACTCTACTTATCCATCTTCTCCTCCTGAACACATCATCGCCTCTTCTACCTGTAACCATTCCTCTGCTGCTGCGAAACCTCCCTCCTCTTCCAAGGCACACCACTAATAACAACACGCCTCCTTTCGATCCTCTCGACTCATAACTCACAAACACACACACAATAACTAAATAACCCCTCCACATCTCCCCTCTACCTATACCCAACTTACCCCGGCATCAATAAACCCCGAAAGATTTCAACCTCGACCGACTACCCCACTACCTTTTATTGTAAAGACAACCTTCGCACCTTTTTTCCCCCTGCCACCTGGCCGTTTTCTGCCCGCTACAGCACCATTGCGAGCCGAAGCTCCCTTTCCCCACACTCTGTTGTCCTCTTTTATACTACCCTCAGCTCTTCACACATCCACAAGCTCCCTCTCCTCTTTCTTGGTACAAGAGTGAGTTATGTGCTTCTTCCTCTCTTTAGCTAGGCCTCCGCCACGCTCCTCTGTCTCTGGTTCACCTTCTCCTCTCATTCCGCCGCCCCTCCTTGCACAGTCCCACCCCATCCTGCACAAATTCCCATCCCACACAGTCTAAACCTGCACTCTCCTCACACATGCCCTCCCATCCCTGTCCCTATCACAAACTCCAACCCCACCATGACCCTAAACCCGCTCGGGCCGCGCTCAAGGCAACCAAGCTGATTCAGAGTGCGCCGTCAGTCAGACACTGTAAACATTGGTCCGCGAGAGAATAAGACCTATCTAATATTACCCCGCCAGGCCACCGAGCGTGCATGCGGCCTGACACCTGAAACTAGGCTCCTCCTCTGACGACGTCAACAATCGATGCTGAACCTGGCAGATTGAATCTTTAAATTCAACCGAAGGCCTCTGCATGTGGCGAAGGGTTAGATAGCCTTGGTTGAGATTGAAATGAGGCTCGAATGATAAGATGAGAGGAAATGCCACGCGCTAGCGGAAAGGCGGGCGAGATCGGGCGAATCTAGCCGGCAGAAAAGCCCACTTTGATGCCCTTCCTCCGTTCTCTTGCTTACCGGTCGTCGAGGTGGCGATAACCTGTACTGCGGTGCTGACGCATATAAGCATACAACTCTCTCTCTGTCTGCCTGGGCGCATGTCTGTCTGAACGCGCACACACGCACACACACACACACAGACACACACACACACACACACACACACACACACACACACACACACACACACACACACACACACACACACACACACACACACACACACATACACACATACCGAAACCAAAAATATATGCCTTTCGCTGACTCCTTCAAAACTAACAGCTAGAAATGCATCCCTTCACACCCACACATCTGACCTGATCAAGACTTCTTTGCAAATACGCAAGGATGAGCGCGTGTCTTTGCACCTGTATTTCACCAAATTGCAAAGCTCTCCCGCTGAGCAACCGCGAAAAAACTACAATTAATCTGAACCCTACGACACATTAAAGAAAACAGTCTAAAAACAAATGATGAAATTAAATCGAAGCAGAGATTTTTTCGACGATTTACAGATTCAAAACACTTACCGCGAGAGGTGCTAAGGGTGTGGGTTTCGTCAACTGCAAAAGAGAGAAAAAAAACATAAATAAATTGACATATAAAAAATCGTCATTTTTAAAAATAAACTTCATATAAAATTGTCTCTTCGAAAATTTTGGCTTCAATTTCATGCACCAGTTTTATGAAAATCTTAATGTGAAAAAATGTTGAATTCACGTTCAGATACACTTTCCTCATTTTACTGAAACGAGAATACTGAAATTCATATTACAACTCTCACCCCACTCAGCAACTACAACCAGCTATAAGTTATAAGTTACAGGTTATAAGAAGTTATAAGCTATCTAGCCACGGCATTTCCTCACAAACCACAATCAAACTCAAAACCATCCAACTACCAGTTACAAATTGCTATCCTTCTTACCCCCAATAACAGCGGGAGAGAAACACAATCCAATATACAACTGGCTAACAACCTCATAACACCGTGAAATGGAGTATTGCCAGAACGGGAGCCAGACCTCTGCTCGCCCGGGGGACCTTCGTGTAAATATTGACAATACACGAGAAATTCTATCAAGGGCCGGCCACACGCACACAAAGGGGGCCCCGCATGGGTGAGGGTAGGGTTACATATACACGCACATACGCGCATACACGCACGCATACACACACGCGCGCGCACACACACGCACACACACACACGCGCGCGCACACACGCACACACACACACACGCGCGCACACGCACACACACACACACACACACACACACACACACACACACACACACACACACATTCACTCTCGCTCTCGCTCTCACTCACACACACTCTCACAAAAGCAACATGCAAGCACACTCACGTTCTCATACACACACACATACACACCCACGCAAATGTACACAAAGGGGCCCACAAGCACCTGCGCGCACACAAACACACACACGGAGGCTTGCAAACATCCGTGATATAAGGCAAGCACGCAGCCTATGTTGACCGCAAGCACACATGGTATTCCTGCCCCTATGCATGCAATGAAGGGGGGGGGGGTATGTACTTGGCTTCCGGGCATTGATGTCAACTTTGGCTTGACTTCAACTTCGGTTTGACTTCAACAACTTTGGTTTGACTTCAATTTCGGTTTGACTTCAACTTCACTATCTAACTGTTACGAAAATCATCTTTATCTCAATGCTGATGTTACTTAAGAACTTTCTTCGTTACTGTTATTTGACTTTGATATCAGCAACAGAATATCTATTGTCACGAACGCAGTCTCACTACCCTTGTCACCGTCAGAAAATATCTTCACTGTCCATAATCAGAATCACAATCATAAAATCCCAATCAGTGTAAAATCACCACCAAAAGCAACCTCCGCGACCGCTGTCACCACCAATGAAATGATTCTTTTTCTCTCTCTCTCTCCACCAAAATCACCTGAACACCACCATCAACAGATCCCAAACCCACCATCATCACATTACGTCACTATAGAAAACATCGACGGATTCCTCGCCCACCACCACCACCATCACAGAAAATAACGACAAATGCCTCGCGTAACCTCCACCCCTTCCCACCTCCACCTCCACCCTCACATACTCACCTCCACCCTCCACCCCACTTCCTACCCTCAACCTCCACCTCACCCCCAACCCCACACCCCACCCCTTCCATCTCCACAAAACCCTCACCCCTCCACCTCCACCCCTCACCCCTCACCCTCACCCCTCACCCTCCACCCACCCCCCTCACCCCTTCCACCCCCTCACCCCTCACCCCTTCCACCCTCACCCCCTCACCCCCCCCCTCACCCCTCACCCTTCACCCCCCTCACCCCCTCCCCCTCACCCCCCCCCCTCACCCCCCACCCTCACCCCAGCCCCACCTCACCCCTCACCCCCTCCACCCCACCCCAGCATTCTCCGACGTCTGCGAATCCACGAGGCTTTCTTAGCGTTCAAACTGCCCCTCGTTTTCTATTCGCGAGCATCAGTGG